CTTACTGCACATCTCTTTTTACCCACGGAATTTTAGGAGAAACATCTGAGACGAAGTTGATACTTAACCAAAACATTACTGAGAACTCTATGATGCCTCCTGAGTCATGAAAAAGCAGTCTCTGCACAGTTAAATCGGTCAGCCTATCAACTGCTTTATTGCTGCATTAATTTACTCATTAATGATGAAAAATCTAAGATGGCCAGTAGAGGTCACTGTTAATGTAAATGAATTGCAAATTCATACAATTTTACAACAGAATTGCATACACACTTATTAACAGGAAGCATCTAAAAGCAGTCTGAATCATCTCGCATTGTGCTTAATTATAAATTTGACAAGACTGTGGGTGTGAAGATGACTTGTGAGGATAGTATACTGTATGTGCGAACTAACTGTTGTTGAAAAATGGTTTCCTTTTTCATTTAAGAGTTCTGAGAACTTACTGAAGAGAAATTACTGTGAGTCCCTGTCCTTCCCTGTTTCCTGTGGATTACTGAAGACTAACACCAGCATACATAGCAGTTCTTAATGGGTTCCTTCAGCTAAGTGCTTGTATGTTTTGACTTGTCAGAAAAATGACTTTACGTACATTTCACTTCCTTAGAATTCTAAACAGTGCCAGAAATGTCTAAAAAGAAGAGCATTGGAGTGAATGGCCAGGCACGGAGGTAACAGAATATTAGCTTAATAAAAAAATTTTTAAAAAATTATACTGGATGTTTTCCAGATACGATTTCCATTTTCAAAATTATTACATACATTTTTGATTATAAAGAACCCCGCCCCCCTAGTTCCTTTATCTTTGCTTACCTCACTATTGAAGCAGGCAGACCCGCTGGGGCCAATTCTCTGTCCTGCAGTCATTTCATAAGAATTATATCAAGAAAACGTGATCACAACCGAGATTTAATTTCTATCATTATGTAATTATTTGTTCTCATACATATTTTAGTTATGACTCTGATGTTCTGCAGGTCACGGGTGCTAATCTGTGACAGGGGAGGATGTGTCACACATCTTTGGAGTGTTTCTTTTGATAGGCACTTTATGTGTAGTAAGTGCACACTCAAAAGCAAAAACCTAATGTTCCTGGTTGTTCCTCACTGTGTTTATTATTTCATGCTGCCATATTTTGTTGAACATACCAGAACTTTTTCTGCAAAGGACATTATGTGAGTTTAAAATGTGCTCTTAACCATTTTAGATTCCCACTGTTACAGCTTGTACCGTATGAGTGGTATGTACAAGCATTGTACAGAATGCTCATAATTCTGCCAATATACAAAAGGTAAAGTTCTGTTTGTTACCTTGAGTGCACTTTGAATTAGTGTTGGCAATAGATGCCGTAGAATGAAGGATTATTTGCTGCAAAGCACCAAATCTGTGAAAAAAATGATTTATGCAGGCCAGACATCTAATTTATTCACACAGTAAAAAATGTGAAAGAAAACACATTTTACAGGAAGTTCAACACCAAATCACAATGTTTGCATGCACTTTATCACTTGTCATGTTGTTAGCCTAACAGAGTTATCATCATCTCACTGGGGTTTGTGTTATATCATTTATCATTATTTGGAACCCATAATGAGATTCCATAATGTGTTAATCCTTTAAATCTTTTACAGTCTTACAACGAATAATACCTATGGTCACCCATAGGGCAATAATACATTCATAGTTATTTTAAATATGTTTTAAAATATCCAAAAATGGCCTATTGCTAATAAAGATTTTAAAATATATTTACATAAATATATTTTCAATAACCCATATGGCAAAAATATATATATTTTTGTGACCAAAGTGTATTTTAGACATATGCCAAATATATGTTGTAAACAGTGAAGCTCAATGATATATTCAAAATATATTTATGAAATAGAATATATTAGAATATATAGAAATATATTTTGTTTTAACTCTCATTTACCAAAATATATTTCAGGGGCAAGAAAAAAAAGGAATGTTGTCCCATTCTTGTCTAATACAGGCTTCTAGTTGCTCAACTGTCTTAGGTCTTCTTTGTCGCATCTTCCTCTTTATGATGCGCCAAATGTTTTCTATGGGTGAAAGATCTGGACTGCAGGCTGGCCATTTCAGTACCCGGATCCTTCTTCTACGCAGCCATGATGTTGTAATTGATGCAGTATGTGGTCTGGCATTGTCATGTTGGAAAATGCAAGGTCTTCCCTGAAAGAGACGACGTCTGGATGGGAGCATATGTTGTTCTACAACTTGGATATACCTTTCAGCATTGATGGTGCCTTTCCAGATGTATAAGCTGCCCATGCCACACGCACTCATGCAACCCCATACCATCAGAGATGCAGGCTTCTGAACTGAGCGCTGATAACAACTTGGGTTGTCCTTGTCCTCTTTAGTCCGGATGACATGGCGTCCCAGTTTTCCAAAAAGAACTTCAAATTTTGATTCGTCTGACCACAGAACAGTTTTCCACTTTGCCACAGTCCATTTTAAATGAGCCTTGGCCCAGAGAAAACGCCTGCGCTTCTGGATCATGTTTAGATATGGCTTCTTTTTTGACCTATAGAGTTTTAGCCGGCAACGGCGAATGGCACGGTGGATTGTGTTCACCGACAATGTTTTCTGGAAGTATTCCTGAGCCCATGTTGTGATTTCCATTACAGTAGCATTCCTGTATGTGATGCAGTGCCATCTAAGGGCCCGAAGATCACGGGCATCCAGTATGGTTTTCCGGCCTTGACCCTTACGCACAGAGATTGTTCCAAATTCTCTGAATCTTTGGATGATATTATGCACTGTAGATGATGATAACTTCAAACTCTTTGCAATTTTCCTCTGAGAAACTCCTTTCTGATAATGCTCCACTATTCTTCGCCGGAGCATTGGGGGAATTGGTGATCCTCTGCCCATCTTGACTTCTGAGAGACACTGCCACTCTGAGAGGCTCTTTTTATACCCAATCATGTTGCCAATTGACCTAATAAGTTGCAAATTGGTCCTCCAGCTGTTCCTTATATGTACATTTAACTTTTCCGGCCTCTTATCGCTACCTGTCCCAACTTTTTTGGAATGTGTAGCTCTCATGAAATCCAAAATGAGCCAATATTTGGCATGACATTTCAAAATGTCTCACTTTCAACATTTGATATGTTATCTATATTCTATTGTGAATAAAATATAAGTTTATGAGATTTGTAAATTATTCCATTCCTTGTTTACTCCCAATTTGTACAGTGTCCCAACTTTTTTGGAATCGGGTTTGTATAACGTTCACATAAACCAAGAAAAAACGTTCCTAATACATGAAAAAAACTGGACATTTTAAACATTTAAAAAACATTCACTAATAACATTTTCATAACGTTTTCAAAATGGTAGGATGGAATGTTCCTGTAATGTTCGCAGAAACCCCACAAAAAACGTTCTTAATACATTAAAAAAACTGGACGTTTTCAATGTGTACAAAACATTCCGAAATAACGTTTTCATAACTTAATAGGAATGTTAGCAAAACGTTCTGACAACTCATTTTTGTTAGCTGGGTTAGTACTGTAATCACGCGCTTTGCTGTAATAATGCAGGGAACCACTCGTTATAAATCTCCTAACTGTGATATTTTCAGAAATAGAAGTCGCGTTTTTT